CTTTAGGTTTCACCACGTTGAAAATTTCAGATTTGCGCTACTTCGCAAAGTTTTCGTATCTTGAAGTAGGAACGTCGAAATCATGAAACCGTTTGATCCACTGGTAAACTTAACTTCTAAATATATTAACATATCCTAAATTCAAGATTTAATGCCTTACGGATACATTCAGATAATATTTCGAAGTCAATACTAAATTCTGATACACCGACAATTTCAGATTTGCGCGACTTCACCAAATATTTTGTATCTTGATATGGAAGCCTCGAGATCGGAAGACGTCTTAATTTCCATAAATCAAAATTTAAGAGCCATATTCTCACAAATATCTTGGGGTTCAAATCTCACTGAATTTGAAACGTTGCGCCAAGCAATCATTTCCTTATACTTGTGTTTCCTTTTGACGCCTCGCTTCTCTTCCCCCCCTTTTTTTTAGGCAGAGGGCGGACTTGGAGACCAACAAACTTGAAGGTTTGGCGAACCCGAAGCCATAGAGAATCCCTGGACTTCAATGCAAATACTTGACATCCTTCTAAAATCGGCCCATTGAAGATATCAATTTACCAAGGAGGGTTGCCCCCTTTAAATCAAATGAGGTCAGAGTTCAGTAGGAGGATGGCATTTAAGCTTGATCTCACATTCCTTCATACTTCATTCGAACAACAATTGGGGCAATATGTATCTTTTGAACTTATGCGACTGAACTTAGAATGAAACTCTAAGCTGCCTACGTACCTCGGTGAAGAGGATCAAGTCATACCGTAGTTCAAACTGGGTAGATTTTTTTTTTTGGGGCCGTACACAGTTCATACTCTTGCAGGCCAGGAGTGTAGCAACATGCAGTTTAGGCTCGTGCGTCAAGGAGCGTTGCAATTTCAAGGATAATACTTCTTTAAGAATTTGCCATTGATGGGGCCGATTCTCATGCCATCTGCATCAACCAGCTTGTAAGCCCCACTTGAGTAAGCTTCTTGTACGACATATGGCCCATCCCATTTTGAAGTGAACTTCCCTACAGGTTTATGGGAAGTAATTATGGGTCTACGTACGGCAAGGACTTGATCTCCTGCTTGAAAGGATCTCGGGCGAACTCTTTTATTGAAGGCGCGAGATAATCAAGCTTGATAACATTCAAGACTCTGTTGAGCTTCCAATCTCTTTTCATCAAGAGCTTCCAACTCTGTTAATTGAAGTCGAGCATTTTCTTCATCAGTGATCCCTTCTTGAATATCCAGTCGTAATGAAGGTATTTGACGCTCAAGTGGCAAGACGACTTCGACTTTATAAACGAGTGAATAAGGAGTCGCCTGTGTTGGCGTGCGGTGAGTCATCCTATATGCCCATAGAACTTCTTCCATACGGTCATTCCAATCTCGTTTGGATTTGGAGACGACTTTCTTTAACAAGTTGCATAGAGTCTTGTTGAATGCCTCAGCTAGACCATTGGCGGCAGCATTGTACATCGAAGAGTTACGTTGCTTGAAGCCAAAGAGATCACAAATCTTGTTCATCAACCTATTATCGAATGGCTTTCCATTATCCGTTATTATGTAACGAGGAATGCCAAAGCGATAAATAATGTTTACTCGGATGAAACTTGCAACATTTTCCTTCTTTACTTCCTTAAGAGCAACAGCTTCAGCCCATTTTGAGAAGTAGTCAGTTGCAGCCAAGATGTATAGGTGCCCACCAGAGGACTTTGGCAGCGGTCCAACAACATCCAATCCCCAAGCGTCAAATGGCCAGGATGCAACAGTCGGGTGCAACACTTCAGGAGGTTGATGAATAAAATTCGCATGGAATTGACAAGCCTTGCATCTTCAGGCGTTGTCCAAGCAATCTTTTACCATCGTTGGCCAATAATATCCCATCCTTTTTATATGGAAGTGGAGCTTTGGTCCAGACTGGTGTGACCCACATACCCCAGAATGTGCCTCTTGCAGAGCTTGGAGAGCTTCTTCTTCTCCTAGGCATCACAAGAGTACTCCCTTGAACGACCTTCTGTATAGAGTATCCTTGTAGTAAAGGAAGCGAGGTGCACGACGACGGATTTCAGTCCTTCTCCTCGGATTTTCTGGAAGTATCCCATAGCATAAGTAGTCGATCATGGGTTGTTGCCATTCTTCTTTCTCAACTTCAGAAACAGCAACAAGATGCTTGAGTTTGTTTTCTTCACCTTCAGCCTCATTTGGCGGCGGTACTACCCATTTTTGGCAGACGGTAACTTGCGCTTGGTCAGGCAGGGCTAATGATGAAGCTAGAGCAGCTAAAGCATCAGCCTTCTTATTTTCTTTCCTTGGCACATGCTGAATAGTCACATCACCGAGCCACCCCATCAACTTTTTAGCATAATCATGATATGGGCGTAGTTC